GTAAAACAATTTCCATATTCGTCGTCTTGAAATTCCGAAATATCACTGAAAATATAACATAAAAAACTCGTTATAAATCCTTGAAATATACACCCAATTGTTAATATTATATAATTACACGGTATTTGCAAAGAGTGTGACGTCTTCATGGGTCATGCTTGTTTGCAGAGCTGCCATAGGCAACATCTATATGGTGAGTTCCAAGTATAAGATGGCACCAATGCAGGATTTAGTCATCATATGAATATACCATGTTATTTTGTAATTCCGCTTTGAAGGGTCCATTTTCCCGCAAAAAAAAAATGCTGAGAAATTTCTTTTGCTTGATGACGGTGCATGCCGATAATACGGAATTTACATAGAATATATCATTAGGCTAGAAAATGATATTTAGTCATATTGATGGACGGAACAATCGCCAGACGTTGCCAGTACACCTGATGAGTGTTGTACGTTCACGTAGTGAGTGCATCGGTGCAATCAAAACCCTATGAAATTGGCTGGTTGATTAGAGTATTTTTGTTTTTATTGTTTCATGGTAAATGGCGGAGACAAACAAAGTGTCAATAGTTCATGCATTATAACGATCATTTGTGTTTGGGCACATCACATCGATATCAACAACACTTTTTGAAATCGTATTCAACAATGCAGCGCAATACTGTACTGCTGACATGGTCTATCAATGTAGTACCATTGCATATTAACTCAAGTTAAAATTACTTTATTATTACCTTGCTTGGCATTTATTCTGTTGATATCGACATTTCAATATCATATCTTCTCGTTGATGACCATACATAGTTAGCTCTTCAACAGGCACGTCAAGTATACTCCATATATCTAGTGCCGGATCAAATGCAGAAGCCAAAATTACATGCCTCAGTGATAGCGGCTCTCTGTTAGGAATCATGCTAGTAGTTGTATTAGTATAGTATTTGTCCTTGAAGTCGTCAAAGAGTTTGGAATCTTGTGTTATGTCATAAAAATATTCAAACCAATGTGGGTCTGCGAACACATCAATATCACGGAATGGGTCCAGAACTGAAAAATATGAGGTTGTATTATGATTAGATTATAATATTAGGCTTTCTGACATCGCAACTTTTCATGTGAACATCATAAGATATGCCAAAAATCCTATTTACAACATGCCTCTGGAATAAGTACTCCCCTTACAATGTTTTTACATAATACGTTTATTCCTTTTAAAATATGATTATACATTGCGCTGTCCGAAAAGGGATAACAATAATTTACACGATAAATTCGAGAGATGTACACTGAATATAGCTAATTTAAAAGGGAGTAAACTAATAATAATAATTACGATCATGGTCAAATGTATGGCCAATTCAAGTTCATTGTTATAAATAACCGTCTTAATTGTTCACGTAGCAATGAAAGGTGTAAGATCGTCTTTATGGTTGCGAGAGGGGAAACACAGGTAATATTTTTATTGAGATTATGATTTCCTCGCCAGTTACTAAGCATGAAGCTATGGCAATTTATGTTTTCAGAAAGCTGAGATATAGCACAATGCGATCATATATGTTTCATGCTAATATTTGTTCAGTGGATTAAGTTACGATCGTTACCGTGAACCTTCTAAACATAGAGTTTTTCTGCTGGATAGTTCAGTTCTCTTTTTCCTGTGTTTCTGATGTTTTGCTTTATAAGATAATGACCTTTGAAACTGTGTTTCAGAATTGTTGCGTCTCATAGTTCTGGCGATATAGTCTGTTGAACTGTGTGGATTAAATTTCCATGTTCTCGTTGCCGTAACTGAACTTCAACGGCTCACATAAACGTCTATGTGACATCATGTTTTAGCCCAATCTGGCAAACAGATTGTGTACTTTATACATCGTTAGCGTAAATAAAAGTGTTAAAAGAAGACATCTTCATTAGTTATGATTGTCAAAAAATGTGTTTCTTATCCCTCCCGATGAAAAACGAAATGTGGCGTTAGTCATGCTCACATGGTGTTGAATAGTGGTTCCAAATATAGGAGGCGGTAATCCCATAAACTTACTAAATTTATGCATTGTGGGACGACCCTTTTCAATGCCATGAACTTACGGTTTAATCGAAAAATTGTCCAATTTTTTTCGACGGCGGAAATATGTCAGTCACAGAGTTGCATTTTGGATTCGTGCACGTATAGTAAAGATGACTCCTATAGCCATGGTGGATGTTTTAGTTTTGTGCCCTATGGAATAACTTACCATCCCATATCAGAAATTTTAGGGAACGAACTACGCTTTGTACATAAACATCGTAATAGGGTTACTATTTATTTAATATAACAATTTACGTGTTTCACACAAGAAATTTGATTATCTATTTAAATATTATCATAGCAGTTAGGATTTAGGTGCATTTAACACATGTGTATACGCGAACAAATATCTGAATCTTGATTCGAACCGAAATCGTCTAATCCCATCACTGAAACCCAATATTCCATGGTCATAATTGCATTCAAGCCAATATTACATATAAAACATATATATTTTTGCGTTGTTGTCACAGTAGATTGTCTTACTGCTTACTTTATCAACAGATTAACATGCTACAGTTTATCTGTACCATTCCTTTTATATATGAGCGGCATTCCATTCAATTAGCCTACACATGCATCTGAGCATGGACTTAAGAACGCCATTAAAATGTTAACATAGACCATTTGTTTGTGGGGGGATAGGGCATTGTGATAAGCCATTTGATTGGCATTGCTAGTGCACAATATGTTATTAGGTTCATATAAACAAAATTCAAACACTTTGTGACAAAGGTAGAGGTTTAATCTATGTCTTATATTGACTCTGTTAGAGTCAAGTAACGAATATAGTATTTTTTATAAAATTAGAAATGTAATTTACCATATTCACAGTTATGTTCGTCATCACCACCATCGCAATCAATAAACATGTCACATCTCAAGTGAAGTGGAATACATTTAGGCAGTGTATTTCCATTTGAAAATATGCCGGCTTTGCATTTGTATTCGCCCGGACAAACTAAAAAAAAATAGACAGAGTTATTCGAACATATTTGGTATGATCTATAACAAATATCTAGCTAATACGCTAATTTGCATTTTTTTGTTTGATTATTTGTTCATAATTATGATAACAGAATAAAGTAAATAATAATAATAATGGTCGCCCGCCAGTTGACTTGTCTGTATTAGTAGTTAGGTCTATTATTTTGTCTAATGGGAAAGCTTACTAGTTTGCGCTAGAGTTTGCTTTTTGCACGTCATATGTCAGGTGACCCTGTGTACACTTGAAGAGGCCTTCATAAAAATAACGGCATGATAATTACATCCCTTCGTGGACGCAGTTGATACATTTTAGTTTATTATACATTAGCTTCAGTATTTTCGTATGATAACACGTGGTCAATAGTCACATACGATTGCGACAAAGTGTAATAGACATATAACAAAACAATAGCATGGGAGAAAGTACACTTACACACATACATAGAACAATGTACAGAGTAGTAGAGGAACGAATGTGCTACATGACACAATTTGTCTTAGAGCTTCCACAAAGTATGTACATCAAGACAGGATTGAGTAATGATATCATGGTTTGCAAAAAAAGTGTCATGCCCCGACCTACCAGCAGCAGCCACCACATTTGTTTTGGGTAAGTGAATTTATTTCCCTGTGACGAATGATGTTAAAACAGTAATCAATCATCTACCAAGAATTATTTTTGTATTTTGTCACCAGCTCATATCTGCCAACAAGACGTTTGAATGATTTACTTAGCAGCAAGGAGTTCTATCTCGTGTTCAGTCCCTATACCCAGTAGCTAGGAAATGTATACACGATATGCATGTTATTCTGTTTTATCTGTTATGGCCAAATCAACATTTTGTGTATTTAATTAATTTCATATTCTTTGTATTTACTGTATGCTATGCTATAACATATTCACTGTACACTTGGATCACGCTATGTGCTGAATAGCGCCACCCAGAATTTATTGATAGCGAGAATCTGAGATTAAAACCTGTTGGGTTGGCAGTGTGATTCAACTATATGTACAGTACAGATGTGCGCCTTAGAGATTCCTTGCTATTGTAAACTTTCACTGAGATTTGATTTTCAGGGAAAGTTTTAAAAAACGGCGAATCTTTCACATGTGTTTTTTACGGTTTAATTTGTGTTACATTTCAGTTAATCGTCATTCTACATTCTTTAAAAACGTCTTAAACTGAACACGGACTTTTTTCAATTCGTGTGAAAAAACGCATTGGCGAGAGGATGATGTAATCAATAACGGTTCCACACTTATCCAGGGTGTCAGCCATGAATTAGGAGATTTTATAGGACCAGTAAAGCTTTCTGGCGTTAATACCCCTCAAAATAATTACAAGAAACGAAGAACGAAAAAAATAAAATAAAATAATAATAAAATAATAATAAATTCATTAAAATAGGAAGGTGGCAAGGGAAGTGTGCATTGGTGATAACACGCAGTTCCAGGATGTAAAAATAGATGACAGTCAATGGTTTCAGCAACACAACGACAAAGAAATACAGGAGTCTTGCTTGTAGATGAACGCTGTTATTCTGCAGGGCACCGCTGAAAGCAGAGGATCACAGAGCAGTTCATACAAGTCTCATAGAATGCTCATTGAAGCCTGTATCACTTGTCTCACAAACGCGCAGCAGCAACGCACACTTGTAGGCATAAACAGTCCAGATTCAGATACTCAACTTTGGTTTCCACATGAGTCAATGAGAATATTCATAAGGAACAACAGAAGTAGTTCATTTGCAATACGTTGATTCTTATTATCGTTATTTGTAAAACCCTGTTTTCCTGGGACCCCATGAATGCTGGCTAAAGCTTTGATGTAACTGATGTTTATTATCTGATGTGTGTTAAATATGTCAAATACGGTAATTTACGCCTTATTGAAATATTTGTACTGGATACAAAGCGTGTAAACAAAACACGTTGAATGTTTCTGACAATAAAAGAAATAATGACGTACAAGTCAATTCTATGAGGTTATCACATGATATCACTTGTTCGTGAAGTAGGTTTCACGGAGCCACTCTTACGAATGGAATGCTAATATATGCTAATTAGGCAATGGATTCTGGAACTGGAAAATACTACCTTCAGGGATATTTTTTAGAATGAATTTCCCGTCGTTTTTATTTTGACACCTTGCGATTATTTGTTGGTATCCAGTTTGATATTCTCTTATACTATGAATAAACATAATTGACAATAATAGTTGTACTTACATTCTGTACAGTTGACTTCATCTGATTTATCACCACAGTCATTCCAACCATTACAAAGTTTGTCAAAATCAACACACCATCCACCTTTACATTGAAATTGGTCATCGGAACACACATCTGTGAAAACACACAACGTCACAATAGTTGAAGATATTGATATGAATATGCTGTCACAAGCGTTAGCACATCTCTTGTATATTAGAATTAGGCTATTTATGGTTTACTTCGTTTATTCCTGATCAGACAATCAAGTTGACTAGTGAATGAATAACATGAGTGTATGCACACGTTAACACGAATGTCCCAATAAATATAAAAATTAACAAATTTGCAATCTAAATTTTTTTATTTTTTTGTTTAGAAAATTATGCAATTATATTTGATGTTATAAATATACACAGTTGCGGTAAATGCGGGAAAAGTATTCGTTTAACATTTGACACAGTTTTAACATGTTACGTTTTAAGTCATGTTACAAATTTGTAATCGTGATATATGCTTCGATTTATTAAAAGTCCTACAAGTTATCGAATTACAATGGATAATGATTTTCACGACAATTAATTAATGACTGTACGTTTAGTATCGGAGAGCACTCCGGGCAACCTTTATGACTAATTACAGGGTTTAAGTCTAGGTCAGCGCCTTTCTGCTTAGGATCATGAAATAAATATGTTACATACTCTGACCTGCACCAGTTCTGGCACACGTTAATGACACCGTTCAATTAACCTAACGATGATTTTGCTGTGAATTGTGTAATATAGTATTTGAATAGCACCACCGATTAAGCCGATCAGAATTGGTGTCCACAGTCATACACTCAACGTTACAAAGTACATACACATCATCCAACTACTGGTAGTAATTTCAACTAACTCACAGTCACAAAAACCTTCGTCACTTCGGTCATTACAGTCGCCATACCCATCGCACCATGAGCTGATAGGTATAAACTGAGTACTACGACATTGTTTGATTCCATTTGGTAGTGTTTCTGAAAAAAATAGTTAATAATATAACAAAACAATTCCGTCCAATAACAATACAAATTAAATTTATCAGTACTCAAGTATACAGTCAAACCTTGATGGCAAATGTTGGACACATACTTTTCCATCATTCAGTGTCTTCTTAATCTAGTAGATGAGATGTAGTTTTGGTCCAAACTAAAAATTACTCAGTTATATTAGAGTAAAATGACTTAATTTCAATAAAAGTCTTCTCTCAATAGTAAATAGCACCCTCACAAACAATAATTAGAATGAGTGGTTGGTCAAAAGTTTGATGAGTCAGGTGCATCTATTGGCTAAGCTTATTGTACATAGATGCAAATTAGTATAGGAACCATTAATGCTGTAGGGTGTATTGGGAGGGGTGGAGGATTTCATGGTTGTAATGACTGGTTGTAATGTGCTATCTCGTTATTTTCAGGATGCAGCCTGATATTTGTTGCTTTTTTGGTTGTTCAATTATGGCTAAAATTTGCGCGGTGGGAGGAAGATGTGTTTATTGTTTGTTGAGTCAATGTTATTTGGGAAGGTGCTTCTATAAAAATAGAACATATATATATATATATATATATATATATATATATAT